CTCTTTCCCCACAGAAATCCTTCGAAATCTTTCTGGTGGGAAAAACATTTAGTCCCAAACTCTGGTCAAGGTGAAGTCAAATTTTTCGAATGATAGTTCAAGATTTTTTACTGAATTCAGGATACAGTTAGATTTGTTCATCTTTTCTGAGAATAATTTATTGAACTAATTACACTGTGCAAATCACTTTAAGATTAAAAGAAGCCAGAGCACCTGGCTGGCTTAGTCAATGGAGCATGCAACTCTTGATCTCAGGGTTGTGAGTTTGAGCCCCACATGGGGTATAGAGATGACTTAAAAATAAAACCTTTTGAGGGGGGAATGCAAACTGGTGCAGCCACTCTGGAAAACAGTATGGATGTTCGTCAAAAAATTAAAAATAGAACTACCCTACGACCCAGAAATTGCACTACTATGTATTTATCCAAGGGATATGGGTATGCTGTTTCAAAGGGACACATGCACCCCCATGTTTTAGCAGCACTATCAACAATAGCCAAAGTATGGAAACAGCCCAAATGTCCATCGATGGATGAATGGATAAAGAAGGTGTGGTATATTTATACAATGGAGTATTACTCAGCAATCAAAAAGAATGAAATCTTGCCATTTGCAACTACGTGGATGGAACTAGAGGGTATTATGCTAAGCAAAATTAGTCAGAGAAAGACAAGTATCATCTGACTTCACTCATATGAGGAATTTAAGATACAAAACAGATGAACAGAAGGGAAGGGAAGCAAAAATAATATAAAAACAGGGAAGGAGACAAAACATAAAAGATTTAAATTTAGAGAACAAACAGAGGGTTGTGGAGGGGTTTGGGGGGGGGTGGCTAAATGGGCAAGGGAATTAAGGAATCTACTCCTGAAATCGTTGTGGCATTATATGCTAACTAATTTGGATGTAAATAAAAAAAAATAAAATTAAGTATTATGTTGAAAAATAAATACATAAATTAATTAATTAATTAATAAAAACTGGAAAAAACTTTTTTTTAATTTTTTAATGTTTATTCATTTTGGAGAGACAGAGAGACAGAGCGTGAGTGGGGGAGGAGCAGAGAGAGAGGGAGACACAGAATCTAAAGCAGGTTCCAGGCTCCAAGTTGTCAGCACAGAGCTCGACGCAGGGCTCTAACTCCCGAACTGTGAGATCATGACCCGAGCTGAAGTCAGATACTTAACCAACTGAGCCACTCAGGTGCCCCAAAAATAAAACCTTAAAAAAAAAAAGAAGTCAAGAAGAGTTTGGTCGGGTAATGTAGCATTGACTTAATGTCTGTTGGTTGTCACCAAATAGTAGTGATATTGCCAAATCGTTAATAATAAATTGATTCAACTATACTCTGAATAAAATCTGTATTACACTCTTGTAATAAATGGTGTGCATCCACACATGGTATATAACTAACATTTATTACTATATATATTACAAGACATGATATACAATATAAAGTTGTTATGGCAGACTCAAGAACCATGGGTCCATAATAGAAGAGAAAACCAGAATTCAGAGGTAATAGGATGCCAAGGACAGAAAGAGTCAATTTCTTAAACTTTCCTATTTTTTAGTCTTCCTGAGACAGTGCAGCTGTAGAGGTGGATTAACCCACCAAGAATGTACCAGCACGAACTGCAGGCTTTCCAGCAAGGATGCGGCCAACAACTGTAATATCATCTTCTTTTCACTGATCAGGTAACTGATAGAGAGGTTAAGTAGATCCCCGAAGGTTTTACACCACGAGTTGGTGACAAAACCAGGAACAGAACCAAGTGGCATGCAACACTGAGCGGGGATGTGCCAGGTATCTCTTCTGTGAATTGGCAGCCTTGCAATATTCTGAATATGAGCCTTTTTTTTTTCAACCATCTGTCACCACACAACACTATTTTAATATCATTGACTATATTCCCTATGCTGTATAATGATTTATTCCTTCCGTAGCTGGAGTCTATACCTCCCACACTTTACCTAGTTTACCCATGCTCTCTACCCCCTCCTTTCTTGCAACCACCCATTTGTTCTCTGTGTTTATGGGTCTGTTTCTGCTTTGTGTTTGTTTATTCGCTTGATTTTTTTTTAACTTAAAAAAATTTTTTAATGTTTATTTATTTTTGAGAGAGCACCAGTGGGGAAGGGATGGAGGGGGGGGGGGGAGTGTGGGGGAGTGGGGACAGAGGATCCGAAGCAGCCTCCGTGCTGACAGCAGTAACCTAATGCGGGGCTTGAACTCACAAACTGTGAGATCAAGACCTGAGCCGAAGCCTGATGCTCAACCAACTGAGCCACCCAGACGTCCCTGTTTTGTTTTTTAGATTCTGCATAGAAGTGCAATTCTACGTTTGTCTTTTCTCTGTATGACTTATTTTACTTAGCGTAATACCATCCACGTTGTCACAAATGGCCAAGATCTCATTCTTGAATATGACTTTTTTCATACATTCTGAATGTTAATATAACCCTTTGTTTTTTGGAGTGTTCTTCTCCAGAGACTGCCATTTTTGTATACGGGGAAAAAAAAGCACATAAAACCCACAGGCAAGGGCTTTTTCTGAAGGCACAGCTCTTAGGAGTAGAAAGACTTCAGCTAAATCAGTCTTGGCCTCCCACACCAGTGTTTGTCCTGGTGAAATCAGATTTAAAGTTAACTCAGAATCAGCCCTAAAGGTTAAAAAAAGAGAGAGAGAGCCCACTCACTGCATTTCGTTCTTCAACAGTGCAGACAGCTTATGGTCTGAAACCAATATTACAGGAAAGCTACATTCTAGTAGAACCACATTTTTTTTTAACTCCTGTCTATGCCCAACGTGGGGCTCAAACTCACGGCCCTGAGATCAAGAGTCAGATGCTCTACCAACTGAGCCAGCCTGGTGTCCTTAGTAGAGCCGCATTTAAGAAAGTTGTCCCTTCCAGGGGTCACTGGGTGGCTCAGTCAGTTAAGCGTCCAACTTCAGCTCAGGTCATGATCTCGAGGTTCGTGAGTTCGAGTCCCACGTTGTGTTCTGTGCTGACAGGTCAGAGCCTGGAGCCTGCTTCAGATTCTGTGTCTCCCTCTTTCTCTGCCCCCCCCCACCCCTGTGCTCATTCTCTGTCTCTGTCTCTCAGAAATAAATAAATGTTAAAAAAAAAAAAAAAAGTTTTCCCTTCCAGCTAGTGTCACGGTCCCTGTCCTCATGTGTACTATCCTAGGCACATGTGAGTACTGATAAAATGTGAGTGCGTTCATGTTGTGGTAAGCCCAGTTCCTTGTCACTATGTCCTGCATCTCTGTGATTCTGTGTGTGGTACCCAAGTGTGCTCAGAGTTCAGTAGGTTGCTGCAGACTGAGATTCATAACACCGAACCTTTCCGGATCTCAGATGGCTGAATTGCAGTCTCTACCCACCCTCTGGGGATCCTCTCTTCTTCCAAATGAGAAAGCTGAAAGCTTGATTATATCCCTAGTCAACCATCTTCCTCAGGTATAATGAGCAACAAGCCAGCTGAGAGAAATAATTGGGAACATGAGTTTTGCAGCAGATCTGGGTTCGAATCCAACCCCTGTCACTTACTAGCCATGAGACATTGGACAAGTTACTTAAATTTCTCCAGCGTCCTGGTTTGGATTCCCTGGAAACAGACCTTGAGGCCCCTAAGAATTTTCCCAACCACAGGGCAAGGGAAATTGGTTCTTTATCAGCAATTGATGGAGGGCTGCTTGGGGGCAGGGAGAGCATTGATTCCTTGGCCCTTCTGGTTGTTTCCCTTCCCTACCCCTTCCCCCATATGAGTAGAACAGACTCTGGCAGCTAGAGAAAACCCTGAGGCAAATAACTGTAAGTGTGGCAGTTGAAAATCTAACCCTGGGCCCAGAAATGGTAAAGCACAAGGGGAGATAGCCAGAACCCAGACTGTATATGCCACACCCAGCTGCATTTCCACTATCTCTAAAACCCGCCTCACAGGGCCTGCACGTAGTGGCCCTTCAGCCTATAGAAGCTCTACTATTACAGCAAGAATAGGGTGGGGTAGTTGCGAGAAGTGTGGTGAACCAGATAATTACCTCTCCAAAGAGGTCCACATCGTAATCCACAGAACCTGTCAATATACGACCTTACATGGGAAAAAAAGGGACTTGGCGGATGTGATTAAATGAAGGATCTTGAAATAGAAAGGTTATCCTGGATTATCCAGCTGGTTTCAATATCCTCCCTCCTTGTGAGAGGGAGGCAGGAGGGTCAGAATCAAAACAGAAAATGTGGCTTTGGAAGCAGTGGGGCCAGGAGCCAAAGAATGCAGGCGGCTCCAGCATCTGGAAAAGGTGAGGAAACAATCTCCCCTGGAGCCTGCAGAACGAACACAGCCTTGCTGATCCATGGTAAACTTCTTTTAAATGAATTAAACAAGGAGGCCTTTTGCTGGGTGGTCCTAATACCTCAGCAGTCTGCTGTAAACAAGCCAAAAGCTAAACCTGTACATGCCTCAAGGTTAGAGAATTGAAACCAATTGCAGTCAGCTAGGCTCTCTCAAATAAGTCAAATGCTGAAGTCATAGCCAATCAAATGATGTTCTTGCTTGCTTCCACCTTGGCTTTGTAAAAGACTTTCAGTTCCTATCAGTACAACGCTTCTACGAACTTCTGGTTTGGCACGGCTCAATTCGAATCCATTTTTGCTCTAACTCTTAACATTTCAATATGCCCCACGTTATCTTTCCTGACCTGCAGAGCCGTAAGATGATAAATCTGTGTTGGTCATAGCCACCAAGCTTGTGGCAATTTGTCACAGCAGCCATCGGAAACTAATACAGAAGGGTACACCAGGGATAAGAATAACTAACAGGAGGGATGCCTGGGTGGCTCAGTTGGTTGAGCATCTGACTTCGGCTCAGGTCAAGATCTCACGGTTCATGAGTCCGAGCCCCATGTCGGGCTCTTCTCCGGCTCAGAGCCTGGAGCCTGCTTCGGATTCTGTGTCTCCCTCTCTCTCTGCTCCTCCCATGCTTGCACTTTGTCTCTCTCCAAAATAAATAAACATTTAAAATAAAAAAAATTTAAAAAGCTAATACACAATAATATTTCCCTTGAGCTGGCACTAAGTGCTGTAAGTATCTTGACTCCTTTCATTCTTAAACCAACTGTAATATATTTGCTACATGGACTGTAATTCACTTTGCCATATTAAATGTCCTTTTATACCTCTTCTTTTCTATAGCTTAATGATAAAAAGCTTTACATTAATGTTATCATTATGGGTTTCCTAATGCACTCAACCAGTTCTCTTCTGGGAAAATATCTGATGGCAGAAACTTCCTCTCCCTGACAACCAGAGAGTGGAGGCTGACACGGTTCCACTGGAGGCAGGTTGAATAAAAATTGGCCTCGGTGCCTTTAAGTCCCCCTGATTACAAACAGATGCTTTTTATCCTTTGCAGTTTGGTCTGGCTTAGTAAAGCTATTAATCATTAAAGGAAGGGTCCATGCTACTTTCACAGTAGAAGGTGCAGCTTGGGCTAGAATCTTCCTTCCATCATCTCCAGTGATGAAGTTTCCAGATTGAAGCAATGGAAATATCAGTGGTGTGGCATTCCTGGAGTTCATTCTCTTGGCTCCCCAGGGAAAGCTAGACTTGGCTTCGGGTTGTTGCAGCATAAAGTTTCTCACTCAGCAGGAAAATCCACCAGAGACTCAGGCCAGCGACTGTATTGCTGTGAATATAAAAGCACCATGCATATAACAATGAAAGGTTTTGTATTATGGGAAAAGTCCTGGAGCTTGAAGAAAGAACTTCTGTTAATTTGCAGGTCAGTATGCTATTATATTAGACCTTCTCTCTCCCTCCCTCTCTCTCTCTCTCTCTTTCTCTCTCTCTCTCTCTCTCTCTCTCTCATTGTTTCCCACTTATTTCTAAATAGTGCTACAAATAGAGGGGGGGGAAGGCAACTGGGCTACCATTTCATTAAGAAAGAAAGAATTATTAACAGCAAGGCTTTGAGGTACAGATTAGGAAACTGTAAAGAGAGAAACAAAGGTTTGTTGACTGTAAATCTTCCTTGGGTTTTATGGAGAATTCAGATTCTTGAATCTTGAATTCTCACCTGGATTATTGCATGGTTCTCCTACCTGTTACATCAGCTACCTTGCTTTTTCAGCTGCAAATGCCTCAGGGTAAGCCCCCAGTCCCCTTCCTTTATCTTTGATTCTCCCAGTCCCAGGTGGTTCCAAATGCATAGAAGGCATTTGCTGTTTACTGAGTGGAATGACAAGCTGACCTACTGTATATATTCATACATGAGTAAATAAAGGTCACATGTTGAAGTATTCCAGGTGTTAGCTGAAAACCCAGCCCAGAGTCTGAGTGAGCTCAGAGACCACCTTGCTGTGATCTCTGAGCCTTACCCACCCCTTTCTCCAGGACTCCCCAACAGCCCTACTTCGGTGACTTCATTCCCCCCATGCTTAGTCACGGCAGTGCAATTCAGTAAGTATTTTTCGTGCTCTGGTGGAGACGCTAAAGTATGATGATAGCCACACCATTACACAGTTCACAGCCTGCATGAAAATGCTCAACTCCAACACTCAAATGACACCACAGTTGTATACTGGTCCACTCCATGGTGTTTCTGCCTCCACAGGTAAACCACTCCCAGAACACTGACAGGAAAGATGGGTCGGTTAAAAGGAGGAGAGCAAAACAAAGGAATGAGGACTAGTGACACAGGAAATCCTACCATGGAAGGGATTGACCTGGAATTCAAGGGGGAAGGAGAAACGCTTTCTCCTTAAACCCAAAGCATCTTCAAGGTAAAAGCGGCTCTTTCTGTTTCCAGGGAAGGCTGAATGAAGGTCACTGAAGATGGGGGTGGGGTGTGGGGGCCTTTGTGAGGCCCGGGGGCAGTAGCACACGGTAATTGTAACGGATGCTCTGGCGTCTTGTCAAGATCCCCACTTCAGGACCAAGATATTCACCTCCTCAGTTGCCAGGAAGGTTGGGCCCTGGTGGCTGCCTTGACCAAGGCTGCGTGACCTTCCTGGGGGTAGCCTGAGTGCAAAGACTGGTTGTCTCAAGTCAAAACAACTCTGAAGGCCCACCCAGCTCCAGAGCTCTGAGTGGGTTTGCTCGAGGCCTGTAGAGTGACAGCATCACAGCCCAACTTCCCAAGCTGCCCGAACCTTCCTCCCTTTCTCCCTCAAAGGTCTTATGTCCCCCCAAAAGCACTCCTCACTGGACTTCCTCCATGCAGCTCTTTATCTCAGAGTCAGCTTCCCTGAAACCGGAAGGAGGCTGCCAGCGGTGCTCAGTGTGCTAGGACCCTATTCTCAACTCTGTCAGCACCTGGGGGAGGGACAAGTTTTCATAAGAGAATGGCCGCATGCGGCATCTCAGGGGACAGGGGGTGAGATGAGAAAAGTCTTCTGAAAATCTACGTCTCCGCCTTCTACCTCACCTCCCTCTGGTACGTAGGTTAAAGGATGTCTGCATTAGCCAACAACGAATGTGTGACCCCCCCTCGAAAGTCACCAGGCATCTGTTGTGTCTAGGCCAAGGCCCTGGTGTCTTCCTCTGGGCTCACACCTGCTATCTCATGTGTCTTGGTGCACCCTCTTTCTGGAGTCCGCTGTCCTCATGTTTCCCTTGGCACCTAAGTAAATTCCCAGGGTTATTGCCAGAATTCAAATAAACAACCCTGACCTCAGCCTGAACTAAAGGGAAAAAAAATAAATAAATAACCTCAGATAACCTTTTCTCCTCATTTATGGAACACCGACCTTTCCAGCACATGGCCCGATAGGACTGTGTCGTAAGATATTTCTATTCCCTACTCACAAGTCTTGAACTAGAACCTCATAACCAGCCAAGAAGGACATGTCAGGCCCAGTGATTTATGTTGTGGTGCTGACAGATCTCGTAAGTGGGAGATGGCCTGTCTGACATGGGCACCTGCCAACCAACTAGATGTCAGCCAGTCCTAACAGATGCCTGTAAACAAGCTGCACTGGATTGTACTGGCAGGGTTCTACCCTGCAGAGCCCTGCATCCCTGACTCTCCTCCGTAAAACATCAGTGGTGGGTGCTGTTTTAGCCGGGTTCCTCCAAAAAAGCGCAACCTGAGAGAAGGCTGTGTGTGCAGGTAGTCTTGTTTGGGAGATGATCCGAGGAAGAAGGAGTGAGGGGTGGGGAGAACGAGACTGGGAAGGGGGGAAAGCCAACACACAGAGTATGTTAAGGAGCTGGTTACCGCTGTGGGCAACCGAGGCTCAATACCACTGGACTGGGATCTTCTTCTCCTTTTTTAAAATGTTTATTTATTTATTTTGAGAGCGAGAGAGAGCATGAGCAGGAGAGATGGGCAGAGGGAGAGAGAGAGGAAGAGAGAGAATCTTAAGCAGACTCCACGTTCAGCTCAGAGCCCAATGCAGGACTGGATCCCATGACCACAAGAACATGACCTGAGCCGAAATCAAGATCAAATCCTATGTTTAACCAACTGAGCTACCCAGGCGCCCCAACCACTGGAATCTTCTGAAGAACCATGAACAAAGCACATCAGAAGTGTTCCACCAGAGGATGGAGGCTGTGGCAGTTAACCCTTGATTCCATCTGCCATTAGATGAACATTGCTCCCTCCCTGAGTATTAACTCTCTTGCACTTTCTACTTAGCTGAATTTGCCTAAGTGATCTTCCACTGTCTTAGAGAAAGCAGAGAGCTGTTTCTATGGAAAATTTATAAAGGATGCTGGCAAAGCATTCAAACTGACTATCAAAAGTGTGCTAAAATCAGGTGAGTTGAGAAGATGTGACATAGGACATCACAAACATTTGCTACAAATGTTTAATAAAGGCACAAGGGGCACCTGGGTGGCTCAGTCAGCTAAGCAACCGACTTCTGCTCAGGTCATGATCTTATGGTTCGTGAGTTCAAGCCCTATGTCGAGCCCTGTATTGACAACCCAGAGCCTGGAGCCTGCTTCAGATTCTGTGTCTCCCTCTCTCTCTGCCCCTCCCCTACTTGCAGCCTGTCTCTCTCTCTCTCTCTCTCTCTCTCTCTCTCTCTCTCTCAAAAAAAAAAAATATATATATGTGTGTATATATATATATGTATATATATATATATATATATATATATATATATATAATTTTAAAAAGGTACAAATGAAGTGCACCAAGATGGGTGCCCACACCCCTTTAAATCTTAAATTATGAGAGAGAACATATGCTTCCTGTCTTCCCAGGATTCCTTCCTTTGGGGAGTCACCTTTCTTTTCATCTCATTGTGATTGTGTTCGTTCTATGTGGTATGCAGAGTAATGGACCCCAGAGATATCCATGTCATAATCCCTGGAACCCATAAATACGTTAGATTATGTGGCAAAGGGGAATTAAGGCTGTAGAAAGAATTAAGATCACTGATCAACTGACTTCAACGTGGAAGATGACCCTGGATTATCCAGTGAGCCCAATGTAATAACAAGGGTCCTTTTTTTTTTTTAATGTTTATTTATTTATTTTGAGAGAGAGAGAGAGAGAGAGAGAGAGAATGAGCAGAGGAGGGGCAGAGAGAGAATAAGAGAGAGAATTCCAAGCAGGATTCATACTGTCAGCGCAGAGCCCAACACGGGGATCGATCTCATGAACCGTGAGATCATGAACTGAGCTGAAATCAAGTCACTGACTGAGCCACCCAGGCACCCCTCTTTTTTTTTTTTTTTCCCTAAATCACAAGGGTCCTTATAAGTGGAAGAGGGAGATAGAACTTGAATCAGAAAGATAACAGCATAACATGGATGCTATTGGCTTTGAAAGTGGAGAAATTAGGCACAAGCCATGATGTGCAAGAGGTCTCTGTAAGGTGGAAAAGGCAAGGAAATGGATTCTCCTCTAAAGCCTTAGAAAGGAAATCATGCTGGCCAGCACCCTGATTTTAGCCCACGGATTCCCATTTTAGACATCTGACTTCCAGAACCATAAGAGAGTAAATTTATGTTATTTCAAGGCACTAGGTTTGTGATAAATTGTTACAGCAGCGATGAGAAACTAATGCACCCCATCTGCTTTGATGAGGCCTACTGGGCCAATTTCTCACCCCATGGGTGGGATCATGACCGAGTCATCCATCTGCCAGGCCACAGTGATCCATTCAAGATTAAGCCCATGATCCAGGCAAGACCAGGCCTCTCCCAGTGCTAATGGGAAAGATATATCCTTAACTGGGATATGCTATGGCCTCCATTGTCCTTCCACTTACAAAGACCCTGTGATTATACACGGACCACCAAAATTGTGGCAAAAGGGGTAAAAGCCTGGAGGATGTCTGCCTGTGGGAAGGTTTCAAGAGCCTAGCCTGGAAGCAATGCACTTCACATCCACTAACCTTCCGTTAACCAGAGCACAGTCCCGTGGCTCTGCTCTACTGCAAAGGAGGCTGGGAAAAGTGGTCTGTAGGTCCAAGGAAGAAGAGGAAAAGAATATCAAGAACAGCTAGGCATTTCTGTCTCATAAACTTGCCCTGAAATCCCTCCATTTCTAATCTAACTGAAATTTATATTCATCCCTATATTCACCATGAACATAATTACTTATTTGAATATGTGTGCTCAAATTCTACTTTTCCAGAAAGAGCCCATGGTGGACCACCTTCTCTTCAGCTCCTAGATCTAGAGTATTGGGTGTCAATTTTTGTGTTTTTACAGTGTTTATCAAAGAGGAGAGAAGGGCAACTGTTGAGGGTAAGAGAGTGCTATCAGAAAACCTGCCGCATTTTTTCCACCCACACATGCATTCCCCAACAGATAGCGTATCTGTTCCCAAGGAAACCTGGCTCTGACTCAAGGAGGCTCAGTGCCGGGCTTAGCCACAGCTGTTGATGGGGAAGAAGGACCGAGAACTATTGATGTGCATTTATCACTCAGGCATGCAAATCTGGTCGGAACTTTTACTTGTACGAATTTATTATCAGATAACTTTGTATAATGCCACAAGTCAGATCATGACCCTTTGCACACAGCCATGTTCAATAAAGCCAGCTGCAACTAAATACATGTCAGATTATACTTTTTACCCTTTCTTTTTTATTTTTGCATGGATTCACGGCAGGCCTGGTGAAGCGTAGGGACCTCCTTCTTAGAATAACGTTCTGAGGGGCACCTGGGAGGCTTGTCGGTTAAGCATCCAACTCTTGATTTCCACTTGGGTCATGATCTCACAGTTTGTAAGATTAAGCCTCACATTGAGCGCCACTCTGACAGCCTGGACCCTGCTTAGGATTCTCTCTCCCTCCCTCTCTCTTTGCCCCTCCCTGCTCGCTCACTCTCTCAAAATAAATAAACTTAAAAAAGAAGAAGAAGAAGAAGAAGAAGAAGAATGTTTTGAAATTCATAAAACAGAATACATAAGGTTGCAAAGGAAACCAATTATACTGAAATGCACTTACCAAAATATTTAAAAATAAATGTTTGTTATATATGCTTCTTTATTAATGCATGAAATATCACAATCTAATTGCAGATCTGGAAACCAACGTTTTGGAGTAGTGATGAGTTTGCAATCTGGAAATCTCTGTGTATTTTACTAGGGATAAAGTCATAATTCCTGCCAATGGCACTATGATTTGTTTCCCATATTCATCATTAAAAGAAAAGGACAATTTTAGTTCAAAGTTTGTGAAAATAAAAGTAACTTTTTTTCCTATCCAAGTTTATGGACCTTCTGAATCTTACCCATAGACTCCTTAGGAACCATGGACCCCTAGATTCAGAAGTCCCTATTGAAAAGCAAGGCCACATTTTTAAACACAGACTACAGAGGTAACTCATACCTGCCACCCACCTTTTTGGCCTCATGCCCACCCTGGACCCATTTTCCCCAGGTACTCTATCCTTGAGCACAGCCAGCTAATCAACATTCAAATCTGGTTGCTATAACACTCAGCACAACAAATCTAGCGTTTATCATTATTGAGGGCTGACCAGGCAACAAACCTCCTTTTTTTAAAATAATTTTTTCTTTCCACTTTTTAAGTTGCAGTAAAATATACATAACATAAAAGGTACCATCTTAAGAATTTTTAAATGTACAGCTCAGTGTCATCAAGTATATTCATGTCATTGTGCAGCCATCACCGCCATGAATCTCCACAGCTTTGTTCATCTTGCAAAACTGAAACTATGTGCTATTATATAATAAGTCTCCATTACCCTTTCCCTCATCTCCTGGCAACCACCATTCTACTTTCTTTCTCTATGATTTTGACTGCTCTAGATAACTCATATTAAGTGGAATCATACAGTGTTTGTCTTTTCTTTTTAATGTTTATTTATTTGTTGTGTGGGCATGCACACACAAGTGGGGGAAGAGCAGAGAGAGAGAAGAGGGAGAATCCCAAGCAGTCTCCATGATCAGCGTGGAGCTGGACATGGGGCTCAGTCTCGCGACCATGAGATCATGACCTAATTCAAAATCAAGAGTCAGACACTTAACCGACTGAGCCACCCAGGACCCCCAGTATTTGTCTTTCTTGACTAGCTTATTTCATTTTGCATGATGTCCTCAAGACACATTCATATCGTAGAAGGTGTCAGGATTTCCTTCCTTTTTAAGGCTGAATAATATTCATTTGTATGTATATATCACAATTTATTTATCCATTCATCTGTCAATGGACATTTGAGTTGCTTCTACCTTTTGGCTATTGTGAATAATACTGTTATGAATATAGGTATACATATATCTCTTTCAGATCCTGCTTTCAATTCTTTGGGGTATATACCAGAAGTGGAATTGCTGGATTATATGGTAAGTCTATGTCTAATTTTTTCAGGAACTGCTATACTATTTTCCACAGTGGCTGTACCATTTCACATTCCCATCAACAGCATATAAGGATTCCAATTCCATCATGCCCTTTCCATACCTTGTTATTTTCTGGGGTGTTTTGTTGTTTTTGGTGGTGATGGTGGTTTTTGTTTTTTATAGTAGCCACAATAAATGGGTATGAGGTGGCATCTCATGGTGGTTTTGATATGCATTTCACTAATGATTAGATGAAGAGCAGGGTTTGTTTTTTTTTTAATTTATTTATTTGTTTTGGGAGAGAGAAAGAGCTAGCAAGGGAGGGGCAGAGAGAGAGGGAGAGACAGAATCCCAAGCAGGCCCTGCACTGTCAGAGGAGAGCCCAACACAGGGCTCGAACCCACAAACTGTGAGATGATGACCTGAGCCAAAATCAACAGTTGGATGCTTAACCGACTGACCCAACCAGGGGCCCCAATGAACATCTTTTTAAGTGCTTATTGGTCATTCACGTTTCTTCAAGAAACGTCTACTCAAGCCCTTTGTTCATTTTTATTTAGGCTGTTTGTTTTTTTTGTTGTTGTTGAATTATAGGAGCTCTTTATATATTCTAGATATTAATCTATCAGATGATTTGCAAATATTTTCTCCTTTTCTATAGGTTGTCTTTTCACTCTGTTGATACATTCTTTGATGCACAGAAGCTTTTAATTTTTATGGAGTCAAATTTGTCATTTTTGTTTTTGCTGCCTGTGTCTTTGGTGTCCTATCCAAAAAATCATTGCCAAATCCAATATCATGAAGTTTTTGTCCTATGTTTTCTTTGAAGGGTTTTATCATTTTAGCTCCTACATTTAGATCTTTGGTCCATCTTGAGTTAATTTTTGTGTACGGTGTTAGGTAAGGGTCTACGATACCCTTTTAAAACATTATCTAATTTAGTCCTCATGACAACCCAGTAAGATAGGTACTATACAGAATTCCCGTTGTATAAACATCACAAAGGGCAGTGAAGTCACTTGCCCAAGGAGGCACAGTGAGTGAGGAGATGGAACCAGAATTCAGCCCTGCTCGTCTGAATCCAGACCAAACTCCACTAATCACTTTACAACACTCTTTTGTGTATTTTTCATGCCTCTATGTGCATACCCATCCCCCTCTGTCCGGAACTCCTTCTCTGGTCTGTGCCTGGTAACCTCACCTTGCAGCAGATATTGTAGGTTTTCCACCCGTACGCCTGGGCCCCTACCAGTTCAGTTCATAGCACCCAGACTTCCAACTGCCAGCACCTACAACTTTCCACCTGAGTGCTTTCAGCAGTTGCTGGTGGGTGCTCTGCACGCACACGTGATGGGCCAGAAGTGCCAGCTAATCTGTGCTCCCAGAAAAAACTCTCAGTCAATGACCATAGGAGTCGATCATCTTGTCCTATTGTCCCTCGAATACAGCTGTTCTCAGGCATAGTCTACACAGTTTCCCTGTACCTCCTTGAAGGACAGAACCCTCTTTGCCCACAACTATTCACTTGCTTGAAAACTCATTTTTATTGACGTCTTTCCTTTCCCTGTCTCACTTTCTCCTACCTCTGCTGGTATTTCCTGGGATTATCACCTAAAACAAGTACCTGCCCTAAAATCCTTGTTTCAGGGCAAGCTTCTGGGAGGAGTCTGACCTAACACAGTGTTCCTTCAAAGCCCTGCTGAAACTCCTCCTTCTCCAGGAAGCCTTCTCCACTGTCTTTCACAGCTGGCTGTTGCTGTCTCTGCCCGTGGCCTGGGGCACACTCCTTGAGGTCCATGTGGCTCAAATTGCCTTGCAGTGGTCAGTTTACACATCGGGTGTAGGTTTTCTATTGCTACTGTAATGAATTACCACACAGAGGCTTAAAACAACACCCATCTCTTATCTTACAGTTCTGTAGGTCAGAAGTCCAGGCATAGTTCAGCTGGGTCCCCTGCTTAAAGGCTCACAAAGCTACAGTCATGGTGCTGGTGAGGCTTCGTTCCCTGCTGGAGAGCCTGGGAATCAGTTGGCTTCCAAGCCCATTCAAGTTGTTGGCCAAGTTCAGTTTCTCTTGGTTGTAGAACGGGGGTCTCAGTTTCCTTTCTGGTTGTCAGCCAAGAGCCAGTCTCTGCTTCTTTGAGAGACTTCCTGTGTTACTTGCGCTTTCCACATTCCCCTCCCCACCCCCACCCCCAGCCCAGGAAAGTAGGTCAAGTCTTCCTTATAGATTCAACATCTCCTACTTTTCCTTCTACCATGTCTCTCTGACTCCAGCTGGAAAAAGTTCTCTGCTTATAAGGCTTTCTGTGATTAGGTTATGCCCAGATGATCCAAGAAAATCTTCCTATTTTAAGATCTTTAACCTTGGGACACTTGGGTGGCTCAGTTGGTTAAGCATCCGACTTCAGCTCAGGTCATGATCTCATGGTTCATGAGTTCAAGCCCCACGTCGGGCTCTGTGCTGACAGCTCAGAGCCTGGAGCCTACTTCTGATTCTGTGTCTCCCTCTCTGGCCCTTCCCCACTCATGTTCTCTTTCTGTCTCTCAAAAACTGAATAAATGTTAAAAAAAAAAAAAGATCTTTAACCTTAATTCCATCTGCAAATGCCCTTTTGTCATGTAATGTAACATATTTATAGTTCCAGGGATTAGGAAGTGGACATCTTTGGGGGCCATTCTACTTAACCCATCAGTCTTCCCCCTTCTATCAGTTACCTATTTCTTCATAAAGAAAATTCAGTGGCTTAAACCAACAACCATTTCGTGTGCTCATGATTCCATAGCTGGGGCTGGGCTGAGCTGGGCATTTCTTCTGCTGTGGTGCCAGTGAAACGGAGCCTCAGTTTCCCAAAATAGGCAGCCATGCTGAAAAGCCTTCCTCTCCTCCCTTCCTACCTCACCTTCCCCACTTCCTCACTTGGACTTTGTGTGATCCCCTCCCCCAGAGAGGGCTCAAACTCACGTCTTTATCTAGGGCTGTTACCATCATGGATTTAACGCTTTCCTTATTATTCCTGTTACTTCCTGCGGTTGTCTTCTTACGGTGTTTTTGCCTGGTCTCAATCTATCTGTAAGTATGTCACCTTTTCAAAATGTTTTCTGCTCTTCTTAAAGATACAACCAGACCCCGCTTCTGCCCTACTTGATGGCCCATACCCCGGGGTCTTTTTATGATCAAAGTCAGTCTTTCTAACTGTATATGTCCTGTTCCAGCCTTTTGTTTCCTTGCAGTTTGAGAAAAATAGTCCAATCACCTACATAAACTTCATGCTGAGGCTATAGACTTTCATGTCTTAATTTTCTCTACTACATTCTGTAACTTACTTTGTTTCCCCCAAACTCCTGGTCTGAGCTTGAAAAGACTGGTTGGTAGTTTCTGTTCCTTGACAAAGAAAACCCTGTTTACAGTCAGAGTGTCCTCTTCTGTTACCTAAGGGACCAGCAGCCATTTCTTCCTGATGCTGTGCAAGCAGTTTACATCAAGCCGTGTCTACATACAGCAAGAGAACAATTGCAGAAATCTTAGGATCGTCATCCCTGAGGACAGCCAGAGTCTAAGCACAGAATGTCCTCACTTATATGTGGAGTCCAAAAAGCAAAACAAAGTAAAGCCCAAACTTACAGAACAAGAGACCAGATTTGTGGTCCCTAGAGGCAGGGATTGTGGAGTTGGGGAATCGGAGGAAGGTGGACAGAAGGTACAAATTTCTATTTATAAGATAAGTAAGTAGTGGGATGAAATGTGCAACATGATGACTGTCGTTAACACTGCCGCTAATATGATACATAGGAAAGGCAGTGAGAGACTAAATCCTAAGAATTCTCATCAAGAGTAAAAAAACCAGTTTTTTGGCATCTATGTGAAGTGATGGATGTTAGCTAAACTTTTTTGGTAATTATTTCACAATATATGTAAGTCAAATTATTACGTTGTACACCTTAAACTTACACACTGTTGTCTGTTATTATATATCCATAAAACCAGGGGAAGATAAACAAACCCAAAACACACAATGTTGGGATGGAAGGAACCACAATTTAAAATCCTTAATGGCAGGTGGGTGAAATAGGTAATGAATACGAAGGAATGCACTTGCCATGATGAGCATGTGTGGCATATGGAAATGTTGGATCACTATATTGTACAACTGAAACAAATATAACACTGTATGTTAACTATACTGGAATGAACATTTTAAAATAAATAAATAGGGCCGCTTGGGTGGCTCTGTCAGTTGAGCCTCCAACTCTTGATTTCAGCTCAGGTCATGATCCCACGGTTGTGGGATTGAGTCCTGTGTTGAGCTCCATGCTCAACATGGAGCCTGCTTAAGATTTTCACTCTTTCTCTCTCTCTCTCTCTCCCTGCCTCCCCCCGCAGCCAGTCCCCCCCCCCCCATGCCTCCTCTCTCTCTCTAAAAAAAAAAATTAAATTAAAAATAAAATAAATAAATAAATAAATAAATAAATAAAATCCTTAACAATAATTATAGTTAAAAAATCACCAATGGTGAATTAGGGTAATTAAATTATTTGCAGTTTACTTTCGTGTATTTCTCAAAATTTTACCATGATCATGTTTCCCCCTTATAGTCAGAAGAAAAACAAGAGGATTTCTTTTTTTAATGTTTTTATGAGATGTTATAATGTTTTTATAATATCTTATAATTTTTTTGAGAGAGACAGAGCGTGAGTGGGGGAGGGGCGGAGAGACAGGGAGACACAGACTCTGAAGCAGGCTCCAGGCTCTGAGCAAGCGGTCAGCACAGAGCCCGATGTGGGGCTCGAGCCCACAAACCATGAGATCATGACCTGAGCCGAAGTTGGATACTCAACCAACTGTGAGCCACCCAAGCGCCCCAAGAAAAATAAGGGAATTTCTTAAAAAGAAAATTAATTATCCAGTCAGCCTGTTTAATATCTTATATGAAAAAAAAAATCCTACCTTAGACTGACCAGCTACCTCCCTTTTGAAAGTGGCTCACCTGATGCCATCTGGTC